ATGGAAGGATCCAGTTTTGGGATAGAGACACTATATTGTCCAACGCTGGTTCTGGCAGCCCTGGCATGCTGAATGGGGACTTTAGGGATGGGAGAGGAGCGGATTTTAGGAATCAGGGCCCCCTGTCTCCTGGTTCGGAGATAGACACCGTGGGAAGTTCACCTTCCTCTCCTATTTCAGTGACTATGGAAGCTGCAGATCAGCACCGGTTAGTGGACAGCGCCCTGCACCAACCTCAGCATCTCCATCACCTGCACCACAGCCACAACCTCAGCAGTCCCCCCACCACAGCAGCCTGCCCAGCTGGGCTCAGCACCTAGGACTTCCACCTCTTCCTTCTTAATTAAAGACATTTTGGGAGACAGCAAACCCCTGGCTGCCTGTGCCCCTTACAGTACCAGCGTGTCCTCCCCCCACCACACACACGCCAAAACAGGAGGGCAATGTGTCTTCAGAAAGTTTTCGACCCAAACTAGAACAGGAGATGCAAGATGCCAAGAGCAAAGCAGAAAAAATCCGGGATGATATGCATTCAGACATGAAAGGGCATAGTGAGTATTATTATTATTATTATTTCAGTGTATAAACAAAAATATATGATTATATATTTCATTATATTACATGACATTGTATTATATATATATTACATTAGATTAGATTATATTCCTGTATTACATTCAATTATTTTATTATATGACATTATATTTTATATTACGTTTTTGTTATATTATTGTAGTAGTAAACATCTATCCAAAACTGTAGCATATACCCGAGTGTATGTCTCATTTTAATTTGATCAACATACACACACTTCTTCCCAGTTCATTTTATTTAAAAAGAAAAGCTTCATCTCATCATCTCAGTTTGCAGTTTTACCCTAGCATTATATTTTAATCAGATAAATCCAATATTGCTCATTCTTCCAACAGTAATTTAAAGGCAATCAATTAGATTTAAACGTACTGCAATAAAGTAAAAACATAAAACAAATGAAATGATGTACCAGCACTAGAGATTCTTAGAAAACTAATATGTATTTTAAATTTAGATATTTCTTAAAACTGATAAAATAAAATTAGTATTCTAGGAGTGAGAATAAGCTTTAAAAATATTTGCCATGCGATTACACCAGCCTTAGAAATTAACAAATGGTGACATTTTGTGGGCACCCTATATTCTTTTCTTAGCGTGATGCCCAGGCAATAATGTTTTAATTTACACATAATCCCTTGTTAAATATGTGCTTGATTATTGCAAACTGCTGTGTTAATTAAAAAGATCTCGCTTTTCTTTTCCATGCTTTTTCAGACTTCATTTGTGTTAACATCCATGCATTTCGGAGTATTTTTTTAAATGAAAACTTAGCGCAAATAATCGTTTTCGCCAGGTCGGTATTAAAATAACTATCCTATTTGGTATAGTAAATTTTGGTTCTCACGTTGGTGATCAAAAACAGACGTACAGTCTGGCCTGGCGATTTTTTTTTTGTGTGTACCAACCTCCCCAGTGGGTCAATTAGAGAGATTATTGTTCTTCCTGCAGGGAAGATAAAGGAACGCTAGGAAAAAAAAACTGGTACAAACAGAAATGGTTTTTGACATATCGATTTTTCTTCAATTCAGCAAAAATACAAGCCTGATAAATAGTATCTGGTAATGTCATCATTCTCATCTTGTGCTGGGCAAACACAGTGCACAGCTGTTAAAACAGCATAATAATAATGATAGTAATAGTAGTAGATGTAATAATAATAATTATAGTAATAGTAGTAGATGTGTAGTAGATGTAATAATAATAACAATAGCAATGATGATAATAATAATAATTAAAAAATGAGTGTTTTGCAATTACCCTTGGTGTTCTTCTTATTTTTCTTATTATTATTTTTACTATTTTTAAATATATTTAGCAGTGACAGTAGTAGTGTAGTGGCATTGGTAGTAGCAGTAGTAATATTAATAATAATTATCTTGGGTATTTTAGAATTGTTCTTCTTGATCATTTTCTTGGCTGTTTCTTCTTCTTCTTCCTTTTCTTCTCTTCTTCCTCTTCTCCTTCTTATTATTATTATCATTATTATTATTGCTACTATAATAATTATTACTGTTGTGTTGTGCACTTCTATTATTATATTATTATTGAGTATTACTATTAGTATCATTTTTTTTTTGTTTTGTTTTTTTATCAAGAGCAGTTAGTTGGTGGTAATAATAGTATAATTAGACATAGTAGAAATATTTTTAGATATTCTTGTCCTTTAGCATACAGGTGGAAATTTTGGTCTGCCCTAACTTGAGTTTATTGACGGCCATATTGTGTACTCAGTGTCTGTGTGTATATAAAATTATATATATATATATATATATATATATATATATATATATATATATATATATATATATATATCTCATTGTCCTTCAGTACTTATGTTATCAAAATGTTTGTACTCCTGTAGTAGTAAATCATATTCCACTGATTTACCATGCCTTATCCTAACTGTATGTATAGGTACAAAAGAAGAAGGGGACCGGGAGATCACCAGCAGCCGTGAAAGTCCTCCGGTCCGGTCCAAGAAGCCCAGGAAGGCCAGAACAGCCTTTTCAGACCATCAGCTGAACCAGCTGGAGAGAAGCTTTGAGAGACAGAAATATCTGAGTGTGCAGGACCGCATGGACCTGGCGGCAGCCCTTAACCTCACAGACACTCAGGTCAAGACCTGGTACCAGAACAGGAGGTAAGATCATTGTCGGTGCACAGCACTGACAGCACAGCACGGGGGAAGATTGACACTTCAGACAGACAGGCACAGGACCACAGAGACCGACATCACATAGGCTCTGCCAGGCTACACAAACCCTTTCAGAAGATTTCTAAAAACATAAGGGGCTGATTCACTAAAAAAAAGTATTTTTTTCCCCTGGAAATTAAATTTGCTGTTTTATTCTCAGACATAGAACCCACTAGCCCTCTGCACATGTTTGGGTGTCTGAAGTCAACACAGGTTCGCTTCACTTTCATAGAAAATGATTTCTTAGTAAATCAGCTCTTATATTGTGCCAAGCATATGCAATCCCAAAGCTAAAGGATAAGACAAAACAACGTTCAGTGAAAAATAAGCACCTGATAAAGCAAGCAAACAAGTGAAATAATAAATCTGAGACAGACAAGCTCACCGACAGGCTCTGAAATAAGTGCTATAACCAGGCATAAAAAAACCTATGCAATCTAGTCTATAAACACACAACAATAATATATACAGCATTGCTAATCTATGACAGTCTGCTGAGGTTTTAATAAAGGAGAGAACAATATACAAAGGGGGTTGGTTTACTAAAACGGGAGAGTGCAAAATCTGGTGCAACATGGTAGCCAATCAGTTTCTAACTTCAGCTTGTTCAATGAAGCTTTGACAATAAAACCTGGAAGCTGATTGGTTTCTATACAGAGCTGCACTATAATTTTCATTTTCCAGTTTTAGTAAATCAACCCCAAAGTGAATTCATTTACAGCAGCCAATCAGCATTTGCGAGTGTTTTTTTCTGACTGGTCCAAGCTGATGAAAGGTTAAATCTGATTGGTTGGTTATGATCATTGCTATAGTAATTTAATAAAGCAATGGACAAACAAAAAAATGTACAAACCCCAAGCAACCATTAAAAGAGTCCTTTGATTGACAGATTGCTGCAGTGTGTTCATCATTAATGGTCTTTCCACTCCCTTTAATAAATAAACCAGCTAGCATAGTGTACCTATATGTGTAATATGGGAATATGTGCAATGCTTGTACTAGCCTTATATCAATATATCAAGATGACATCTGCTGGTAAGTGCTACAGTACACAGCAGAAGATGTCTAGTACAGATCCCAGCTCACACTGCGGAATTAGCTGTTTATATTTAATCCTTACAAAAAGGCCCCAAAATTTAGCCTCTCTATCCCAGGGTATTTTTTTCCTGAAAACCCACAAACTGCTCATAATGAGATAAATATGGCTAATTAATAGCTTCAAAGAAAGCAGAAAAAAAAGATCCCCAACTAATGCACACATGAATAAATAATGTGTAAATCTTGATTACAAAACTAGGGACATGTTAGTCTATGTGTGTCCCAGGAACACAGTGGGATGAAATCCCATTGCTATCTCATTATGCAGTGTTGCATGGCACCAGACACGATTTTTTTTTTGTATAATTCAATTAGAAAATACTTATTTTGCATTTTTTGTCTGTTCCGAGCTCCCTTTTCAGACTATGATTTTAATTAAACATATGTATATTACATGAATTCTATGGAAAGGCTGCAAGCCAGCCACCCGTGTCCCTTTAATAGGATGTCCAGGCTGATCTTGTTGAAGCAAATTAAGTACAGTTCTATTTTCCATAATTTTCTGTCTCATTACATACGGTTTCAGCCACCCTAATTCTGTCGGAAAAAATTAGTGTCATATCTAGGCAATCTAAACAGTGTGTCATGGGCTTGTTAGATGTGCCTCGGCCTTTAGTAGCCACCAGCTCGCAGGCTCTGTGCGACTTTTGGGCTACAAAAGCGTCAAAACGCGCTCAGTGGTGATCCAACCTCAAGATGAGAATGGGTGTTCTGGCAATTTGCTCCACAGCATCAGTTTGATCCCATTCGACACTTGTACCTATACATTTAGTTCAGCGCTTAATACCTCTGGTGCCTAACTTATAGTTTGGGTGGCTGGTGGCTTTATGGTGATAGAAGAAATACACCTTCATATATATTAATCTTTCTTTGCCATCAAGCTAAAGATACTCACAGTTGTGGTATCTAAATCATATTTATTACTTGATTGCCGCATTGCAGGACCAGAAATGTAAAGTTTTGTATTCTGTTCTCTAAAAAATAAAGTGAAAAAGCTTTAAAAAATGCTTGAAAGCATTTCATTATGACGCTACTTTTAAAAATACAGTATTTACTAAGGATAGGCTTAACTGACTTGAGTTAGCTCCAACATTCCAATTCTGAGGGTTTGGTGTAAAAACGTGCAATCTATGGTACACTATCCATGGATAGGGATAACTCCTTTAGAAAGAAAGAAATCTTATTTCTGACATCCTCAATTCAGTTGCATTTATTAATTTATTTCTTTAGCCAAAAAAAACTCTAAAAGATGTTGTAAATGAGGTCTTATAGGGTTCTACTTATTGTCATCAATGTTTCGCAACCACAAGGCAATAGCTTAACTTTGATCTTCTATTTTTTATTCTCCAGGACAAAGTGGAAGAGGCAGACAGCTGTCGGACTAGAGCTGTTGGCTGAGGCTGGGAATTATTCAGCTCTTCAAAGGATGTTCCCCTCACCTTATTTTTATCACCCTAGTCTGCTCAGTAGTATGGACAGCACGACTGCAGCCGCTGCAGCAGCAGCTATGTACAGCAGTATGTACAGGACTCCCCCTGCACCCCACCCTCAGTTACAGAGACCCTTAGTTCCCAGGGTCCTCATCCATGGTCTGGGTCCTGGGGGACAACCAGCTCTTAACCCCTTGGGGAACCCAATACCTGGCACTCCTCACACGCGGTGAAAGCAGCACCCCCCTTTTTTTATTTTTTACAGCACTATCAAACCCCACAAGGACAAATAAAAACAAACCTGAAGGAGATAAATAGAAGGGACACAGGGGCCAGAGTATGGACATCGCCTCTGTGAAGGCTCAAATCCCAAGCACCTACAGTGTGTACTGTACTTATCTAGAGCAGGGACCCTACAGAAAGACCACTATGCTCCTCCAAAGAAGAGTAGCACGCACAGGCACGCAAGGAGGGCGCAGTGCGCAATGGCTGCACTCCGAGGAGTGGGAATGACGATAGACTTCAGTCCAAAGGAGAGAAGAAAAGCAGCCTGGCCGATCGGAGTTAAGGGAAACAAGGACATGGGACTGGGAACTTTGCACTGATCTCTAATGAGTGGATTCATTATGACAAGTGGCATGCTCCCAAATTTTAAATTGTACATTCGAAAGACTATGAAATATCATATTTATTATATGTTGTCCATAAAAGTCACAACTATTCGTTGATTTTTTTATGTCTTTTTTGAGCAACTCGAATAAAATGCTTAGAAAAAAGGTGGTTTAAGGTTGAAATTCTTTTGGGTTAAGATAAAAAAGTAATGCCGTTAGAACCTGGAACGAAAATCCTAATTAAGATAAAATAATACAGATAATACCATATTTAATCTTTGCTAAAAGGTACCAGTTCATTTTATTCAGATTTTTTTTAATGTTTTTATATATATTTTCGGAACAGGTGACTTATTAAGAAATACTTGAAGATTAATCTATAAAAAAATAAGATCTGATTTTTTTTTTGGGAAGCTTTTGGAAAGGTTTTTTTTTTTTTATATATCTTTACGTGATAGCCGTCGGCAGCAGCGTGTCCTCATTTTTTATGAATTTTAAACAAGTTAATGAGCAAAATGAGTGATTTGTAAGGTTGGGTGGCCTGCCTGGGAACTGAGGATATGAATCCCCAATCTGACAGCTGTTCCAGGGAAGCAGAGGATCTTGGAGAACAGACAGTAAGCGAGAGGGGACCCAGCCTGAGCAATTACATAGCTTATATTTAAATCAAAGTAAGGATCAAGCCTAATAAACAGCACATCGCACGCCTAATAAGTAGAAAAAAGTAAAAAAGTAAAAAAAAAAAAAGTTTTATATATAAAATATATATATATATATATATATATATATATATATATATATATATATATATACTTTTTTATGTTATGAGCATAGACACTGTTGCAGCTCTGTCCTAACGTAACTCGTGCAATACATACATACAATTATAATTATTTTAATAACCAGTGTATTATTTTACTCTTATTATTGACGATGATGTCACTGTTTAACACAGATTGTTGCTAAAATACGTTTTTATTCTTTAATTCGTTACATGAGATGAAATCCCGAGCAATTAAATGAGATCTGATCTCGCAAGCCAACATAACAAAACAAAAAAGATCAAACATAAAAAAAAAACCGCATGTAATTTTCAGTCCGGGTCTTGTGTCCCACTTGCCACAATTTATTAGTGTTAAAATAATAAGCTGGGAGCTTTCAAGGTGAAGACAATATTTTCTTCCATAAAATTAGAAAGATATACAGCAATTACATATAAAAGATTCATGGAGTGGAATCTTATGAGATCCTCTGAGGTTTGTGGTAGGTTGGACCTTCATTGTGTTTTTTTTTTTTTTCTTCCTTCTCTCTCTTCTCTTTTTCTGCAGTGAAAGAGCCCCCGGGCACATTTATTTGGGCTTTGCTAATTAGGCAATGGTTTGCTGATTTCTCTGCTAATAAATTTGCGTTAAAACCATATTGACCTCTGCAGCAGTCCAACAATGGCAGAGGGGGAAGCCCAGGAACGCCTCCCTCGTTTGTGCCCTTGTATCCAGTGTAATTATTCCGAGCTGGGGAGCTCCCAGCCAACCACAGCGCTCCAGCCGGTTCCTATTCTTCCCAGGCACAGCAGTCACTCTGCTCATCAGACACCAAGGCACAGCACTTCCCTATGCACGTGCTTTTTAATACAAAAGATACAGGCACACACATCATTTATGCTACTTGGAAAAAAAATGTTACATTGTAATGTGCTCACCCAACACAAAGCACTGTGATCGGTGTTGGAGGCTACACAGGCAAAAATCAAAGGCTTAGCTGGAACGTTATAGAGTATCCACTGGTATTCTGTGTTGGATGAGCTTATTCATGATCATTGTGTAATTTCTCGGTTATATTGTACAGACAGGGGAATCTTCAGGTGCAATAAGCAGCAATGCAGCAAGTGATTTTTAAAAAACATCTGTCTATGTATATGGAGTTATTTACTAAAACTGGAGAGTGCAAAAAAATCTGGTGCAGCTGTGCATGGTAGCCAATCAGCTTCTAATTTCAGCTTCTTCAATTAAGCTCTGACCAAAAACCTGGAAGCTGATTGGTTTCTATGCAGGTCTGCACCAGATTTTACACTCTCCAGAGTTAGCAAACCAACCCTTACTTGTATTATATATGCATATATGGTGCAGTAGAATATATATATATATATATATATATATATATATATATAATATCATAAACATAAAAAGGTATATATATATATATACCTTTTTATATTTTAAATGAACAATAAATGTATTTTCAACTGCCCAAGTCACCGAAAGCTGCATATACTTACACAATAGATTGTAAATGTATACACATGTACAAAGCAGAATATATATATATATATATGTGTATGTGTGTCACAGTATGTGTGTGTCATATATATATATATATATATATATATATATATATATATATATAGTGTATAGTGAAAAAAAAAAATGTAATGGTCACAGAACAGTATGTATATATTTATATATATATATAAATGTATATATATATAGTAAAGAGCTGAGCAAACTGTTGGCACTTTATAAATCCTATATAATAATATCTTTATCTATATATAGATATATATATATATATATATATATATATATATATATATATATATATATATATATGTAAAATTTTACATACCCTGTATGTGACATACCTTGGTGACCTTACTCTTGAATGGTACACACTCATCCAGAAAATGCAAACTTTACATCTAGCAAAACCATTTTTTTTAGATGTAAATCTTTGCTTGACTAAAACGCTTATCATTGCGTTTCTGAGAGATCACAGTTTCTTTTATGCATCGCCTGCAGCAAATCTAAGCTCTGCCAACACCAGAGCCAGCAGGAAAAGCTGCTTCCACAGAGAGTGGGTGGACTGGGGCTGTTGGTGAATATTGTCACCAGTAGACACCTGGGAGTTTATTTGTCCCCAGCCTCCCAATTTTCATTCATGAACAATTCTGTTGTGACATTAAAGAGGACTAGTTTAGTACATCGCCTTTAAGGCGAGGGAACTGCATGACGCTTACAAGTTTACGCATTAGGCTCTCAGCAAAGTTTTGTATGTTAGGTTTTTACCTCCTGTCAACGCAACAAAACGATTTAAAGCTAGCTGGGTGACAGATATAAGGGGACAGAGCAACATCAGAAGGGTCGTTTAGACCATAAAGCCTATTATTTTGTAGGAGTTGAAGGGATCGTTCACACAAGCGGCCATCCATCCCATCAGAGGAAGGTTATGGCACGATGGGGGTGAGGAGGAATAGTTCCATGCACATTGGAATCTGCAATCGTCTATCAACAAAAATGGCAAGTGTTATAAGTGGAAAGTAAAAGTGACTCAGGACAGTCATAAAAAGCGGAGGTATAAGCTTGTCTTCCTTGCAGCATTTTTATTCTGTACTAGCTTACTCTAATTTTCCTGTTTTTTTAAAGTCCATCTTTCAAAAAAAAAAAAGAGAAAAGAAAGGGACACATATAATAAAGCTGTCTTCAGTGATGGCTTATCACAGGGCTTAGATAATACACACAAAGATGAATGCATTAATGTTAAAACTACAGCGGCATTTCAGCACCATGGACAGCTTGTGCAGTGAACAGTTCAGATAAAGCACATGCAAAGGCAAAATAAAAATAAAATATGCAGTTCATAATGCACTCTTCCCTGTGTTTTGTTCATTTACAGACCCTGTAAATACAGGAAAATACCTGTTGATCTGCCAGAAAAGCACTCAGATGCTAAGCTATAATGTGTGCTGACAACGTACAGCATTTGTGTGGACTGGATGTTGTCAGTCCTGTCCAGTGTATTTTGCTAAATAATCATTCCCACTCTCAGATTTCCAAAACATAAAGGATAGATATTTTGTAGTCCAGACAAGAAATAAAAGGTTTCTTTGAGATAATATATTATGTGTGCAGAGGAAAGAGAGCCACTTGATATTTCCAATGGTATAATTTCAATAGCGTAGAAAACAGTCCAAAAGGGGGTGAATAAGATAAGTGTCTTGTTAGGGTTTAGATACACTATATAGTAGGTGTAAACCCAATCACTAAAGTCTTATAGACTTTAATGTTCATACATTCTGAAAGTGTTTTTTTTTAAATATTTTTAATCTGTTGATCTTATTAAAATAACAACTAGCAGTCTTGCCATGAAGGTTCTTGTATAAGTGCTTCCTGTCATACGGTGATAATGCTCTCTACTTTATAAATAACTGGTGATCCTGCCATGACTTGTTTGGTGATCCTGTCGTACATGAAGGTCCATTGTTTAAGTGCTTCCTGTCATACGGTTCTTGTATAATGCTCCTCATACACACTTTATAATAATAACTGGTGATCCTGCCATGAAGGTTCTTGTATAAGTGCTTCCTGTCATACGGTGATAATGCTCTCTACATTATAATAATAACTGGTGATCCTGCCATGAAGGTCCTTGTTTAAGCGCTTCCTGTCTGTTTAAGCGCTTCCTGTTCATATACGATAATGCTCTCCACATTATAATAATAACTGGTGTGATAATAAGCGCTTCCTCTCCACATTATAATAATAACTGGTGATCCTGCCATGAGGGTCCTTGTTTAAATGCTTCCTGTCATACGGTGATAATGCTCTCTACATTGCAATAATAACTGG